CACGCACATGTATCACAAATGTCATTTTGGGTAAAAAAAAAAAAAAAAAAAATTTCCTTTTTGCAATAATAATATAATTTCATTTAGGTACATTTTGTTAAAGAAGGTTTAAATAAATAAATAAATCAAAGTACTCTTTTATTTTCGTTGGACGTTAATTAATAAAATGTATAAATTTAAAATTTTTATTTATTCGATTAGTAAAGCAGAAAAGGTAGAAAAAGAAAAAATTAGAAAAATTCAATTTTCTTGTTTGTTTGTTTAAATTTTTTTTCATTTTTTTTTGTACCTGAATAATGGCTAAGCACATTTTTTTTTTTTTATATGGAAAAAAAATTGTGTTTTTATCATCAGTATTGACATTGACCAACGAAAATGAGTTCTATTGATGTACATAACCAATATTGGAATCTATAAATAGGTGCTAAGTACCTGAAGGTTTGAAATGGTATGTGCCATATATATATAAATATATATATCTGTATGTAGTGCCTTAATCCCTTCTTCTTCTTCCTCCTCTCCTTCTCCTCCTTAAATTTTTTTTTGTTTTTTGTTTTATACAAATATTCTTTCCAAATAAAAAACTATTATTATTATTGTTTTGTCAAATTTGACATTTGTACCTATAGGTAGATTGTAAATTTATCGTATTTTTTTTTTTAAAATGATAATTCATCGGAAATAAAAAATAATAAATTAAAAATAAAATTGTTATTTATAAATAAATAATTTTTTTTTTTTAAATTGTTGTTTTGACCCTTAATTTTTATATTGCGTCCTTATTTATATTATTAAAAAAATACTCCTTAATTAATTTAATTAATTATTGTATTATTATTATTATTATTATATATAAACGTGAATTGTAATTAAAATTTTTTTGTTAAAAATGTACAAGTTGTATTATTATTATTATTATTATTATTATTATTATTATTATTATTACTATTTTTTTGTAAAGAATAAATTGAATTGTGTTTTAAATGGAAAATTTGTTTTTTTTTTTTTTTTTTTTGTCTGTTTGTTTTCTGTTATTATTATTATTATTTATTTATTTATTTATTTAAAATTTATTTAAATTTATAAAATGATCGATCGATCGATTGATTTTTAAGTTATTAATAATAATAATAATAATTAATATGAAACAAGAGACTTTAATTAATAAGAAAAAAAAAAAAAAAAAAAAAGTATTAAATTTACTAAATGAGAGATTAACGATTGGTTTAAAATAATAATAATAATAATAATAATAATAGTAAATGTCGTTATTATTAAATACTTTTATTGTATTTTGTTCTAAAAAAAAAATGAAAAGTTTTTTTTTTAAAAAAAAAAAAAAAAAAAAAAAAAAACAATATTCAATATTATTATGGCATTTTGTTATAAATTATTAATGCATATAATTAATTGAAAATTTCTAAATTTCCGGCGTAGTATTTTTTTTCTATTTGTATTTTAATTTAAATTTATTAAAAAAAATTATAAAAAAAAAATTATAAAAAAAAAAAAAATCAAATGAAACATAATGAAAAAATGTAAATTAGAGAGTAATGGAAAAATATGCGAAAGTAATTCAAATGTCGGAAAAATGGAATTTGGAAATGATATTAAAACAACATCCGTAAACAAGAAAATAAATGAATTTGATAATTCAAATAATAAATTCCCGAATTTTATGGCACTTGATGAATCGGAAAAATTAATTTTTTTCCAAGCGTTAAATTCGGCTAAAGAAAATGTTAAAAAAGCTGGAATACCCATCAGACAACAATTTGGAACCGTACACGATGAATTTTTCCAATGTTACAAAAAGGAGGATACTTCTTCAACGGGAAAAGAAAAAAAAATTTCTGGTTCTTCTTCGTCAAGTTTAACAACCGATGCCACATATACTCTTAGTTTGCCATCAGTTGTAGAAATGAAAAATAGTGGATCTCGTTTAAATCTACCAAAAACCGAATCCCCATCCGAAGACATGTTTCTTTTAAATGATTCATCCGATTATATGTCTATAGCAACCATTTCGGAAGATGATTTCGATAGTAAAAAAAGTCAAAATGATAAAATGTCGGATACGTCGAATAATAATAATAATAATTACGAAAATCCCGATCGATCCCTTGTAGAAAGAAAAATAAATTCGTTTTCGAAAATAATCGAAACACAAACGTGGTTGGAATACGAGAGTAAAATATTAAAAGATGCCGATAACATTGTCGATTTATATTCGAAAAAGAAAAAATATTTACACGATATCGATAAAATGAAAAAACATCGTAAAGAAAATAAAAACATGGCGGATAATATTAATAATAACGTTAAAGAAAAATGGAAGGAAAAAAAAAAATTCTCGGATACGTATATTAAATATAAAAAACCGGAAAAATTAAAAAATAATAGTAATAATAATAATAATAATAATAATAATAATAATAATCCGAAATTCGAAGCGCTCACGAGTAAAGAAAAAGAAATTTTTTTTAAAATCCTTCACGATGCACATCGTAACGTTGTTGAAAAAAATCCGGAAAGGAAAAAGGAAATTGTACCTTTGGATTGGATAATGAATCGATATTTGGTCACTAATTCGGCAGAAATAACTAAAATGGATGAAACATATCCGACAAATAAACATACGGAAAAATTAAATACCGGAAATGTAAATATTAACGTCACCATTAAATCCGCCGATAATGAAAGAATTAATTTTGAAGCTTTCGAAAGAGAAAAAAGTTTAGAACAAATGAAAATTTCAAGTAAGTATTTATTTTTTTTTTTTACTAATTAAAAGGTATGGATTATTCGTAATAACATTTTTTTTTTTTTACAGAAATAATACGAAAGGTTAAATCTCAAGGGAAAACGGATATGGAAGTTGAAAAGAAAGAATCCATTGAAAGCATCATACCTATTTCCGATGAAAATTTATCGAAAGATATTGATAAAGAATTACCCGTACAACCCGTTAAAACACCTTCGAAAGACGAAACGAATGAAAATGAAGAAGAAGAAGAAAATAAAGTAGATTTGTTGAAACCGGAAGATGATGATAAAAATGATAAAATTATGAAACCGACGATTGTAACGGTCGAAAAGGAAATGGAAACGACGACAAATAATCAAACGGCGACAAGTGATCAAACGGCGACAAAAATTCCAAAGAAGAAACAAAAACGCAAGACGACAAATCAAGATGATATCGATCTTAACATTGAATTCAATGAAAAAGATAAAAATAATGTTCCGAAAAAATCTAAACGTAAAATTTCGGAACCCGATGATAAGAAAAAGAAAAAGAAAAAGAAAAAGAAAAATGCCTCAAATGAAAAATACACTTTTAATAAATGCGAACGTAAAATAAGCAACAGTTCGAGAACGGAACCAAGAACTTTCGATGACTACGTTAGACAAAGAAGTTTATTAGGACAAATAAATGAAAAAAAAGTAAAAGAAAGTGATAGCGGTGTTAAAGTAGAAAAAAAAGAAAGTTTTCTATATATGAAATCGAATAAAAATAAAGATATGAAAAATTCAAACCGTGAAAAAAACAGCGATGGGCAGCCATTATTGTCGAAAGTCGAAACGTCACACCGAGTTAGCCTTAGTGACACGAACTTACACGCGAAACCGCAAACGGGTTCGAAAACCGTTGTATTCAAATCCGCCAATAATTTAAACACGACGAAAACGGATGATTCTAAATTAAATGATAATTTATTGGGGAAAAAACATGTCGAATCGGATATTAAACCGGAACATGCGAAAAAAGCGACGAATTTAATTAAATCAATTGAAAATGTGTTGAAAAAAGAGGGTAAAAATTCCGATCACGATAATGAAATGAAAAAGGAAAAAACATCCAAATTAAATTTTCACGCTATAAAGAAAAAAATATCTAGTCACATATCAATATCGAAAAAGCAAAAAATAAAAAAAAATTCATCCGGTCACGTTTCAATAACGGAAAAGAAAAAAGTTATTAAAATTAATTCGAAAGATATGAACGATTTTAATAAAAATGGCGGCGAAAGAGTGGAACCAGATAATCTTTCGAAAATATTAAGTTCTTTACAAAAAGTACAAAAGGAAAAACCTAAAGAAACTGTTATTCATGTAAAATATATATTGTTTTTCTTTCTTTTTTTTTAATAAAAGTTTTAGTGTTTGATTGATTTTGTTTGTTTGTTTGTTTACAGATACATTCAGTGAATACATTTCCAAAATTAAAAGGAACAAGAAGAACAAGGAGTTATGATAAAAGTATAAGAGATGATGATTCTGATGACAATTTAGATGATTCATCAAAAACAAATGCAAGAAAAACAAAATCAGCATCTTCACTTAATTTAAGCGAACAAGATCAATCTGTTACTCTTGAACATGACAATACTTATACACCGGGTGATGAAATATTAAAAAATGAAAAATCATTTTATACATGGAAAAAAAATGTAAATAATTAATTTATTTGTTTGTTTGTTCTTGTTTTAAATTATAGGAAATCGACCTGAATCATATAAAACGGATTTAAGTGTTAAATCATCTACAACGGAATCCGTTGACGAAGAAGAAAATCTTGTTCATCAAGAGAGTTATAATAAATTATTTGTTCCAATGTTTATAAAAAAAAGAAAATTACCACCGACGAAAGTAAGATTATTACAAGATTTATTAAAAGAAAGAGCGGGATTTGTCGAAGGAAGCATTTTAAATTATAAAATTGTTAAATTACCAGAATCGAGAGAAACAATGGAACCATTAACGGCTCGATTTCATTTGGAAGAAACCGAAGATACAAATGTCGATAAGGGGAAAAAATTTAAATTTATTAAAATTCTAGCTAAAATTTGTAGGTGTGGTAAAAAAGAAACGGGAGATGATAATAACTTTTTAGATAATCTCAAAGGGGAAGCTGTGACGGTTGATTTATTAGGTGGTTCTAAAGTTCCCGCTTCTGTAACGTTAAACGATTCAACAATGGAAGTATTAAAAGCAGCAGAAAGGAAAAAAATTATACAAAAATATTGGAAAACTGATTAAATATAAACATTTTTTATTATGTTTAAACAAAAAAAAATATTTATGTTACACATCAGTTTGTTATAAAAAATTAAAATTATTATCAGTAATCAAAAAAAAGAAAATATTTGTTTGTTTATAAATCTTGGCGGGTTTTTTTTTATTTTCGTTTGTTTGTTTACATTTTTTCGCGGTTTTTTTTTTTTTCATCAGTTGGCGTCTAACTTTTAGCGGGTTTTTTTTTAACAAAACAAATATGGCGTCGTTTATCAAATCAACTTCAGGTCTATTCAGGTAAGTACATATTTTTTTTATTTTTATTCGTTCTTTAGTGATTTCAAAACGTTTTTAAATTAATTAAACGTTAATAATAAATACCAGAATCGTTTTTAAAACCGGTTAAACGTTTAAAATGGCGGTTATAATAATAATAATAATAATTATTTTTTTTTTTTTAAGTCATCCAATTTTTTAATGACGTCGATTTTATTATTATCTATAAAATTATTAGTTTTTTCATCTTTGTATTCATCGATTTTAGATTTTAAATTAGATTCTGAATTACTTGTTATCACACGTAGGTTGTTATCATTGATTTCTTCAAAATTTCCTTCTTCGTCAACTTCCTTTAACAAAAATAGACAAAAAATTTTACCCCATTTGTGTTTAGTTAAAATCAATTTGAATTTTTAACGGTTTTTATTTTTTTTTTTTATTCAAAATATGGTTTTACAATATGGAAAAAAAAAAAAAAAACTAATGCCTGTACCTTAATTTCTGTGAATGTTATTGGTTGAGTTTTATATCTAAATGCATTATTCCTGTGAGTTTTTCTAGGTATTGTCCTTTTGTAACGTTTTGACAAAGGTTCTGGATAAACTGAATCCATTATTATTATTATTATTATTATTATTATTTATTTGTTTTTATAATAATTAACAAACTAAAATTTAAAAACAAAAGTGAAATTCAATGCACAACAGACAAAAAATTTTTTTTTAATTTAATGATGAGAACACAATAACAAAAAAATTTTTATTTTTGACTGAAAGACTCATAAAAAAATTTTTTTTTTTTTTTTATGTATCACTGATTTAATAATATCTTTTTTTTTTTTTTTTTTTATTAAACTCACCAATAAATAAAAACTAAGACAAAATTATTTAAATAATAAAAATAAAAATTTTAAAACATTTAAATACAAAAAAAAATTTATTTAATTTTGGCTGATGAGAAATTAAGTAAAAACAAAACTAAAAGGAAAAATAAAAAAGCGCAAGACAGAAAATAAAAAAAAAAAAAAAAAATTAAAACATAAACTTAATAAAAATTTTATTTCGGCATCCAAAAAAAAAGAAAAAAAAGAAAAAAAAAAAAACTTGGCATAAAATCAGTAAAATTCCACACACACACACACAAAATTATTTCTTATTCCCGTAATAAGAATTTTTCTATTTTAAACTTTAACTAATCCTCTTTCTCTCTCTTTTTCTCTCTTTAAATTTAAAAATAAATTTTCTTTTTGGTTAAATAAGTACCCGGAAATAAAATAATTATTATCAATCAATCAGGGCAATCAAATACCGGAAGTAGTAGAAAAAAACATTCATTTAACAAAAATAATTTCCGGTTTAATTAAACTACATTAAATTATTATCATTATCATAACATTCGTTATGAATTTCCCCCCCCTCCCCCTCCCCCCCAATAAATTTATTATTATTAAAAAGGATTTTTTTTTTTTTAAATTTAAAACAATTAAATTAAATTAAAAAATAAAATAATATAAATCATTTTTATTTTATTTTATTTTATTTTATTATTTTTTCCGACATTTTTACATTTTTTTTAATTATTTATATAAAAAAAAAAAAAAAAAAAGAAAGAAAAACCGGATTTTGCTTTACGTAATAATAAAAAAAAAAACTTTTTGCTAACATTCAGTGATATTCTTATCATGTAATTTAATTAAAATTATTTTTTTTTTTTAAAAAAGAAAATCATAAAAAAAAACAAATTAAAACGAGTCGATTTAACAAATTTTCTTTTCTTTTTTTTTTTTTTTTGTAATTTCTTCTTCTTCTTCTTTAATTAAATCGCAATAATAATAATAATAATAATAATAATAATGATAAAAAACTTCCTAAAATTCTTGTAGGTCGCGTTTGCCTTTAATTAACATCATTTTCTTTTCTTTCTATTATTTTTAAAGGCAAATTTTGTTTATTTTTTATTTTTTATTTTTTTTCTTCTGCTTTAGAAAATTTAAAAAAAAAAAAAAAAAAAAAAACAATTAATAACAGATTTTTTTCTGTTATTTTTTTTTTTTTAAATAAAAAAAATAAAATAAAATAAAATAAAAATAAAATAAAAAAAAAAGAGACGAGACGAAACGAAACGATTGACTGTTTTTACTGATTTCCAGGAAAATTCCAAGAGTTTTGAGTTTTCGGTGACCAAATGCTGCTTAGTGAATGAAACGGATCAAATTGAATCCCGTTCTAAAAATAATTAATTAATTAAAATTTTATTTAATTATTCGAAAGTTAATATATAAATTTTCATCTCACCACCGTTAAATTTTCCCGACTCAGCGGTCGAGGTATCGTTTCTCCAGAAATATTCGTCGGAGTTCGATTGAACGAATTAAGGTTCGATAATCCCGAACTCGGACTCATCGGACTACCTAAATTAACATTTGAGTTTGGTAACTCGTGTTGTATTATTAGGTTTTCGTGATCCGTTAACGGATTATAATTAGACAAACGATGTGGCGGATGCGGAAGCGGAAGCGGATGCTGCTGCTGCGGCGGCGACGTCGTCGTCGTCGTCGCCGTCGTCGTCATGTCCATTCCCTCAATAATTTGCGTCGAATGAATATTTGTATTATTACTATTATTATTATCCGCGCTCGGACTCCAGGGTGATGGTTGTTGTGTCCAGGACGTGTGCAAAAGTGAATTCCAAGATTGATCCGCATACGTATCGTAGGGAGATGATGATTCCACGTTTGACTGATGAACGCTTCTATCCGTACACCATAAATTATCCATCCAATTTTCTATTAATATTCGAAACAAAAAAAAAAAAACATCAAATTAATTTTTCTTTTCTTTTTCTTTTTCCCCAAATTTAATAAAATCAAAAGGTTGATTGATTGAACCTTTCCAAGAGAGCTGATAAGTTGTATCTTGTTGATGCATGAGTTGCATCGCTGCATGTTGATCTTCCCATAGATTTTCCGGATCTATTTGTAGCGAATCTTCGATTGTGAGATTTCTCTCGTCGGTAAAATCCGGTGGGGACGAATTGAGAAAAGCCGAAGGAGACGACGACTCGACGGGATAATTTGAATTAAATAAAGTACTCGGATTCACGGCTGAATCGTATGAAAGGGGAGACCAGTGTGATAATGGCTTTTTCGAACCGATCGGCCCTGGGGGGGGGGAAAAGAAAAATTGAGAAAATGTCATTTCGCCACATTTTATTAATTTATCATCACCTCATTATGCCCTCACCCAGTGATGTTATTGTCGAATCGCATGGATTCGCAGCATCCGAATCCATGGGTTCGATTTGAAGATGAGATTTGGGCAGTTGCGAATTTTTAATCGATACCGTATTTGAGTAAAGCATTGGGCTATCGTTTCTTGCTACGACTTCGCTAAAAGTTCGATGTTCCCAACATGGCGAACTACGATGAATTGTTAATGTTTCGGCAGCTGAAACGATGAGAGGAAAATTATTATTATTATTAATAAATACAAAACAAAAAAAGGAGGGGGAGGGGGGGGAATAAAAAAAATGATTCGTCTTACTTTTAGCATGTATAACTTTTTCATCCAGTCTTTTCTTATTTATATTTTTCTCCTTTTTCTCACGGTTACAATTTTTCGTATTTCCTTTGTATTTCGAATATTCGAAATTATTTTTGCTCCCTTCGACGCTTCCGATTTTCCACAAACCCAAATTATTATTATTATTATTATTACTATTATTATTATTACTCGTCACGTTTCCAAATTTTTTCGATTTCGAGTTCGGTTTCGAAAATTGTTTCATCCCAACGTTTTTTTTCTCTTTATCGAACTCGTCGTAATTGTAATTCTCTTCGATTACTTTTCTAAATTTTTGTATTTTTTTCATCTTTTCCGTTTTCATTCTCGAACTACTTCCGGCATCCGACGAATTTTCCTTTTCCGCATCGTTCGAACTATCCGTCGTCGTCGAACTCGTTTCCTCTTCTTCTTTGCTCAAATCTTTATTCAATGTTAACTTTTTACATTTCATCAATTTTTTATCTTCTTTTTTACCCTCGTCTTTTTTCACATCTAATAATTCGTTTCGTATCTGTTTGAAATTTTCCGTTTCTAACGTGTTATTGTTGTTATTGTTATTGTTATTATTATTATTATTATTAAACTTTGTTTTTGATTTTTCGAAATTTCCACGTGAGAAAACGCTGCACCACGCTCTGTTGGCAAAATTCTTTTCCTTTTTCTTATTCGTGACATTTTCGCACGTGTTTTCGAGAATGGTTTCCACCAATGGTGCAGTACCCGCCGCCGTTGAATTTTTTTTATTAAATTTTTTTTTATGTTTCGCCGACGCTATAGAATTGTTCAATTGAACAATATTCGTTATAGCGGTTAGAGAGCTATCCTTATCTTTTATAATTGTTGAAACTTCATCGTTTTTAATTCGAATATCAGACTTATCATCTTTTTGTACGTTTGAAAAATTCTTTTCCTCGGACACCCCGTTCGATGACAAATGACTCGAAACGGTATTTACGGTATCTTTTTGTTGTTTCCCCTTGTCAACGTGTTCCACATTATTATAATTCGTAGTTTTTTTCGTCGTCGTCGTCGTCGTAGTATTATGATTAAACTCTTTTAAAACGTTTGTACCGATTTGTCGGAGATCTAACGAAATTGCCGGTTTTTCACGCGTCAAATTCGACATTGTACATTTGAGAATTCTATCGGATTCGAAAAAAGCAGCAGCGAGAACGCAAAATAATAGGAAAACCATAAAACTAACCGCGGAATAATACAACAGGGGTTCCCACGCGGGTCTCATTAAAACGGACGAACACGCCGATAAAAAAAATGGCGGAAGCGTCGTTATCAGAGTATAATTAACGTCTATTCCCAAACTCGTGTCTATTGTTAGCGTCCTTTGAATTTTCGTCAGTGTGAAATCCGGCGTGAAAGCGACGTCAATTTTTCTAGTTCCGTTCACCGGCAATTCGAACGGCGAACAATTTAATATTGAAAAACCGTAACCCTCGCATTCCAAACCGTTAATGAAAAATCTGTGTACGAAAACCGGAAGTTCTCCCACGTTTCTTATCGTAAATGACCGTTTTACAGTCAAATAATTGCTTGAAAGTTTTTTACTTTTTTCACCTGACGGGGAAAGAAAACAAAAAAATAATAATAATAATAATAATGATTTAGAAAAAATACATTTAAATTCGTTATTGAAATATAAATAAAACTTACGATGACAATCCTTTAAATGTTTCTCGGATATTTCAAACATCAAAGGATTGCTCGAACCTGGTTTTCTATTACCAAATTTTAACTGTGCATGAGAAGCCTCGCCGAAAAGTTCGATAACTTCAACAACCGTCAAATTGTTTCTTATTAAAAGCAACGAACAACTTTTTTGTGCATTACGAGGAGTATATCCGATTGTTACCTAAAAAAAAAAAAAATTAACTTTTTAAATTAATTTCAAAGTTTTTTTTTTTTAAAGTGTTGTTAAAAATTTATGTGACGCCCTTCTCTTACTTCCATCGTTTCCCCGGGACCTAATGTCGTATTTAATTTTCCAGAGGAGGACATTGTTAAATCCTGAGTAATGTAAAACTCTTTAGGAGACGAATTAAAACAATTTCCTTCCAAGTGAGATTTAAAGCTGGAAATTAACAATTAACCATTATTTTCATCGGTTTATTTTTTTACGATGGTAATATTTATAAATATAAATACCTGGGAGGAAACGAATCGAAAAGCCTTTTCGCTTGTGGATACGCCCACTCCGTAACCAGTTGTACTTCTATCATATGACTAGCAGAATTGAATAGTTTCAGTCTTTGAATGGTTGTATTCATGACCTGAGTCAGCGGAAATATAAGTTTGCTCGTATTTGAAAATTTCGGCCAAATGAGTTTCACTTTGGCCGTAAATAATTCTTCTCTAACTTCATTCGTGTCGAGCCTTAAAAATATATCTTGAGAATGACCCGAACCGAAACCGTTGGTAAGATTAAGTAAACGATGATATCTATCGCGTAGCAAAGTGGCATCTATGTCACTTATGTAAGGGGAAAGAAGTTCACTTTGCATCCATTGTAAACTACCTGTGTACGTTTAAAACAAAAATTATTATTCCTCTAAATCTAACCTTATTTATAATGTAGACAAAGTTAAAAGACACAAGTTTGAATATCTTACTGCCTGATGAATTTAGAGAAATCCCCAAGTAACAATCATTTCCACAATTTTTCGCGGGTTCCCATTTTAAATCCCCAATGTAATTACTACAACTGGGTAATATTTCCGATCCTCCGGGAGCACCGGTAAAACTCATTCGAATATCCGGAGGTACGCTCGTTATGGAAGTTGCCGTCATGGGCCTATTAAACGTAGACTGAATTTTAAGGGGTTGAATACAAATTTTGCCCTGCAAGGATTACAATTGAACTTTGTAATTATTTTATTTTATTTTTAAAATTTTATTACAATAGCAGATAAAAAAAAAATGGAGTACTTAAAATCCAAAATGGCGATAGATATTTTTCAAATAAAATTGTTTGTTGTAGTGATTCTTGATTGTGACTGATACGATTGTTAAAAATAAAATAAATTGAATTTACTCACTGGAAAGCAATCATCCAATAAAATTTGATTCGGAATAATTTCCAAAGCTCCATGAGCCACGGATACCTTCACGGGAATAATTAATTTTTCATATTGGCTTGTTATCGACACTTGAGCTGTCATTATTTCTTCATTTTTTGATGCTTGAATAACAAGTTCTACGACGACTATGCCGTTTGGTTTTAAATTTGTCTAATAAAAAATAAAATATATGTCTTTTTTTTTTTTTTAAATACTTTAAACGTTAAAATATTTTAACAAATAATTAAATATTTGATAAAAGAGATACCAACACTATTCGTTAAGTTGGCAAAACCGTATTGGCTTAAAAATTCCGAAGCGTTTTTATTATACAATCCCAGAATTTGTGGTCTTACAAAGGGCGAATTGGATTCAACCGATTTGATTTCAATTACAACAGGATTGTTGTTTTGCAAACCGAATCGAATCGTTTTTGTGCTTCCACATCCCACAAGACCGATATCTAAAAGCTCTAGATCGTCGTAACCGCGAGGAAAAATCTGTAATTAATTAATTTTATTTAATAAAAACTTTACAATGCCTAGAAAAAAAAAATAAATAAATAAATTTTTTTGTTTTGTTTTTCTCTCTCTTACTTTAGTTAACTTTCCGTTATAAATTAAAAGTGAAACTGTAACATCTGAAATATTTGTAGATAATATTAAACCGGATTCCAATTTCAAATCTCTTAAAATATTATCTTTCGGATATATCGTTAATAAATTGATTGATTTTTGAGGTGGAATAACTGCCAGTTTAAAATTTTGAATCTGAAAAAAACAAATTTAATTTTATTACAAGTTCATCTTTACTAATATTATTATTATTATCAACTATAAATTACATAAATACCGAAAAAAAACTTTTAGCATCCTCTAACAGACTAACATTATTTATGGCAATTGGAACTTTAAATTGATTTTCAACGGTCAATTGTCTTGGAAACGACCTTCCGTCAGTAGTTAAAAACCTGGTAGCACCATCATTAACCTTTAAACCTCCTTCTAAAACTTTGGCAGTGAACGGAATACCGAGTTTATAAGGGCTTTGCTTGCTTTTAATTAAAATTTTACCAGACGTTTGCTTCGTTTCAAATGCTGTTTTCCCTGGATTAAAAAAAAAAAAAAAAAAAATTATTTAAATTTCTATATTAACACTCGATACGCTTCTACGATATCGCTTAAAAAAACTTACAATCAAACACAAGTTCGGCGACTTCAACAGGCGAAGTTCCCGGAGGAATTTTGGCCGTTTCGAAATTAATTTTTAATGGGGATATAGCAGGAAGAGTCGTAACGCTTTGTATCCTTTGAGTTTTCTTTAAACTGTTACATAGATACAATATTACTTTTTTAGGTTTGTCTTGAGATCCTCCAATTCCAAAATCAATGGAATGTTGTTGAGAATACAATCCGGGCTGTGAAGTAACTTCTACTTCCAGAGGAACAACCAAAACTTCTTCGCTATTATTTAATTTTAACCTGAACAATCATAGGGTATTTTAAAATTTTGTAACTTTTTTTCTATTTTTCTATTTTTTTTTTTTTTTTTTTTTTGATCGGGTACTGTGATATATTTTAAGCTTGATAAGAGTATCTATCATCTTTGTGGAATCGAACGCTTTAATTTTATTTTCAAATAATTAAAGCTGAGTTGACAGTTTTCATTTACCTCAAAAATTTTTTATTTCAATATTCAATACATAAATTGTATAGACGGCGAAGGAGGAAGGTTTGCAACCAAATCTCACCTAATGTAAGCTGTGTGGTTACTCTGCGAATTCGCTTGAAATTTAGCTCTTATTACAGGTTTTGTCGTGTATGGTGGTACTTCCCACAGAGCTTTTGGTCCCTCCAATTCACCTCCGGGTAATTCAAGATGAAATTCACTTCCGCTGCTATAAACTTCAACAACCTATTGAAAAATGTTTACGAATTTTAAAAAAGTTTAAAAAAAATTTTTTTTTTTTTTCTTTTAGTAATCACAAATAAATAACCTGAATAGGATAATCATGAGGATTGTGAAGTTGAATGAGAGGCTGAAAAGCAGCATTCAAAGGTAGCCTAACTCCACCCAAGGGCCTTAATCTGTAAGGACTGCAAACGCTTGCCCCCGATACTTGATATTTGAAAGTTCCTTCAGATGTATGAATGAACAAACTGCTTGAAACATGACCTTCTGTACGCCCCAAAAATACCACTGCAAAAGTTGTATTTCCTTTGGGTGGTATTGTTTTGTCCTGTTTGAATAATATTTAGTACATTATTGAGTAAATTACTTTTAGCAAACTTACAAGAATTCACAAAAACTTATTAAAATACCATGTCGCAATTTTCGTTAAGAACCATTTATAAAATAAATTAATCTGGAAAGATCTATTTAAAAAGTTTACTTGATTTTTTTTTTTTATTTGTTAATATATTTTAAATATTAAAAAGAAAAGAATTAAAAACAATGTACCTGAAAAAATGAGCTATGAAAATGAAGTGTGTTTCCAGATACAGATGACATGTGAATAGTTTTGTTCTCATCTGTGTTAACTAAAGTGACTTTTTCAAGGTGAGGTACTCCTAAATGTCTGTAAAAATTTATGGCATTAAAGTAAACAAAAACATTTTAATATTAAATTTTTTGAAAGTATTAGTGTACCAACCTCTCTTTAAAATCTAATCTTGGAGGAACAAATTTTAAATATGTTGATGATGAAAACATATCTGTATTTTTCAAATCTTCATGCACAGGTGATATTCTCATATTTGTCGATGCAATATCTTTGTGCATAAAAACTTGTAAACCTTCATGAACTCCTATGAACTTTACATCATTACTGTTTGCTTGTAAATAATCTTAAAAAGAAATTGTTTATATTCAATGACCAAAAGTAACTTAATAAATAATGTTAGGTGTAAGTTATACAATACTAAAATCTCAATTTATAAAAAAAAAGTCAATTTTGTCTTGGATAACTTTAAAAATAAATTAATTAATAATCAAGATTAAACAAAAATATAATAAAAATCATAAAACATCCTTGAGTTAAAAATTGAGGGTAAAAAAATAAATATTTATTATTTGAATATTTATTTATTAAAATAAATTTAAGTATTTATTTATGTAAAAGAAATATTACTCAGAAAAAGATTATTAATACAAATGCATAGAAATTATTAAAATTTTTTAAAATATTCAAGTTTTAACTTGTGTAAGCAGGTAAAAATATACAGGGGTAAAATTAATATTTTTATGAAAATCAAAATTGTAAGTTTGAAAATAAAAAATATCATAAATAGTAATTACTATTTTAATTTACATTTTATAATAAAAAATAAATTATTGTTATAGATTTCAAAAATATTAGTGCAAATAGAGGTCACGATAGAAGAGAATTATAATAAATTCATTCATACCATGATTATTTTCGTGAACAGACATGTGTGTTTTTCCTAAAACTTCTAATAATGTTAATGCAAACACGTAACATTTGTTAAAATCATTCACTCCTCGTTTTAATGGCATTTTTTTTTTTGTATAAGTGGCCATCTGCGTGATATGCGTGTATCTGTTTTTTTCCGCGGACAAACTATTGATTTTTTGCTGGCAGAAGACAACACAATGTTGACCTTCTTTCTGAAATCGCACAATTATTCTAGTTACACGTTCAAAATTTTATAATTTTATTTTAATAATAATTTCAAATTATTGAATTAAGCTCTATAAAATGAATTGTTAAAAAAATTTTTTTTTTTAAATACAATCAAACGATCCACATCACTATTATCATTTCGGTTAAAATAATTAAATAATAATTTACCATTTCATCGGTAAATATTCAAAGATATATGTATATATACAAAAAAAAAAAATAAAAATTACCAACTTAAATAATTTTTAAGGAAAGCGTTTTGACACATAGCAATTTTATTATGATTAGTTTCTTTTTTTTTAAAAAAATTTTTAATTAATTATAATCCGAATAACGATTAAAATAGATTTTCAGTTATTGTCTACAATAGGGTTGTTTTTATAATGAATTCTGTCAAATCATCTTTGTCGTCTTTTTTTAATAATTACAAAGATTGGGTTTGTAGAAATCCACAAACAGCAAGTGAAATTGAATCTAGCATTAAATGGTTGTCGTATTTTGCAGCAGGTGTAATAAAATATATTTTTATATATATATTATTTTTTATGTAATTTAAAAATTAAATCATATACGTATTTTGTTTTTTTTTCTACTAGGGAAAGTCAATAATTCTATAATTGTAACAGAGTTAGTGTATTCAGCATCAAATTTATTAGTTTTATTCAATGACATTATAATATTATCCTCTCAAAAAAAGTTTTGTAATTATGGAAACAAAATTAAAATTTGGTTAAGTGTTTTAGAATATACTGAAGTTTTTCTGGAAATATCCTCTAAAAGTGTTTGGGGTTTGTATTTAAAAAAAATAACTTATTTATATTTTTGTATACTTTTGAAAATTCATTCTTCATTCTTTTATTAAGTTTACTAATAAATCAACAAATATTCTAATCATGGAATGAAAATATGAGTTTTTTTTTTTTTTTATTTATCATTTAAAACAGTAAATTGATTGTTTTAAATAATTCTTTATAATATTTAAATTTACAGGGAAAAAGGGAAAATGGACAGTAGTGGTTTCTATTCAATTAATGAAATGTATATTAAAATTTATTTTATTAATAAATTTCAAACAAAATATTATATCTCAGCCACCTATATTGCCTCAGAAAAGAAATACAGTAGGATTTAATGGTAATTATTCAGATGAAATATTAAAAATAAACAAAATTGCCTTTTCGTTAAAACGATCTGGAAGAATTATTAGGAAAGTTAGTGCTTGTAAGTTTATTTCACATTTTATTCAAAATGAAAGTTACATTTTTTTTTTTTTTTTGTAAACAATTATGATTATTAGTAGTTAAAACATTAAAATAAAAAAAAAAAAAAATTTCAGCTCCTTCTTTTCACAACAGGCTTTGGAAGCCTCCATATTTCTCGTCAGATAAAATCAATACGGAAGACCAACAAAAAATAATTACTCAGCCTCAAATTTTAATCGGAGAGGTATTGTCTATATTTTATTATTATTTTTTTTTTTAAAACTACTAATTTGATATTTATTATTTTAAATGAAATAATTTTACAGATGTTATATATTTCAAAACCGATTCTCATCCTAATTACAATTTTAAAATATGGGCAAAGAACTTGGGTACCATGGCTTCTGTCTGGACTAACAGATTTGACAAGGTAAATCTAAAATTAAATGTAATTTTTATTATTAATTAAGTTTTTTATAAATTATGTAAATAGGTTGTCTGTTAAATTTGTCTTTTTTTTTCGAATAGATGTAGTTTCTCGTAGGAGTAAATCATAACTTTAAATCATGTTTTATTTTATGTTTCCAGTTTATATTTAGTTCAATTAGAATCGAAGAATCATTCCAATAATAATAATAATAATTACACTCCAGGACAAAAATTAGAAATATCAAGGCGAAAATTATTACTTTTGTTATACTTGATGAAATCACCTTTTTACGAAAGGCACAGCAAAGATTTAATTGTTGGATTTTTAAATAGTTTATCGAAAAATATTCCCTTGGCTAAATTTATTTGCAAACCAATTTTACAATATCTTCCACATTGGCAAGAAACTTATTTCTATTTATGGTCATCTTAAATAAATTTTAAAAATAAAAAATCTACATAGAAAAAACAATAAAAGTTAATTTGATTTACATCTAAATACATTTAATTATTAATTTTTTTAAAATTTTGTAAAGATTTAAATTTATAATAATTTTACTATTGAAATATCTCGACATTAAAATGAATTAAACTTATTTTAATTAAGTACAAAGTAAAATTTAGTTTTTGTAAAAAAAATTAAAGGGGATTTATATTTATATTAAGTACTAAATTTTTTAAATAAATTTAATATCAGCCGACATTCCTGTAAAAAAAAAATTATAATGATGTTGTTTTAAAACGAAGAAAAAATCCCTATGAGTTAAGTTTTGAAGGTTTTTAACTATCGAAGTACAAAATATTAAACCTTTTGCAAAGGTTCGTCACAAATCCTGACTCAAATATGCCTTTTGCAACAAAAAAAAAAAAATTAGTTTGAGAATTCCAGGCCAAGGTTACCATTTAATATTCGATTAGGTTATAAATATAAGGAAAATTTCAAAAAAAAATAAATAAACGTAGTTTTTTTTATTAAAATTCAACGATATTTATTATGTTTAAAAAATAAAAATTTTAATATTAAAACATTACAAAGTAAAATAAAAAGGGGGTTAACAAAATATTTTTTTACTTTAAAAAAAAAAAAAAATTTATATATATATATATATTTTTTATAAAATTATTTATATAGTATTGTAAAAATATATGTCATGATGAGTTAAATAAACTATAATACTGGAGTTTAAATTTAATTAATTATAATAAAAAAATAAAATTTGATTTTTTTTTTTCTTTTTTTTTTAGATGAATTTTAAGTCAATCAATGACAGAAAAAACTTTTTTTTTTTATTAAATTTAAATAAGTATTATCGTATTTAGTAAAAAAAAAAAAAAAAACTTTTAATCTTTGTTTCTTGTTTGATCTGATTCCGGCCTCGTATCCGATTTATTAATGAAATTCGTTTGAAATTCTTTCCCTATGGATGAAGAAGGAGACCATTCGCTTTCGGGATCTGAAAAAATGACGTTGTTTTCCAAATCTCCTTCTCCAGAAACTTCAGAAAATTCTGATAAACTTTTCCTACCTTCTTTACCTGAAAATTTAAAAACATTATTATTATTATTATTATTTCTTCCTGTATTATATTCATTTCGTTTAACGAATATTAATCACCTGTTTCGTGTAAGGTCACAAAATTAGACTCCCAATTATTACTATTTGGATTTTTCAATGATTCGCCGCCACCGCCGCCATGATGATCGTGAAAAATGGCTTCGGATTCAGCTTTGGTCACATCAAATATTTCCGTTATTTTAACTTGATTATTTTCATCCATAAAATAATACGCCATAACTGCATCGTGGTGTGAAGTCACCTGATTTCAAAATAATAATAATAATAATAATCAATTTCACGTAAACGCGAATCCCTCTCGATTTATTAATAATAATAATAATAAAACCTTTAATATTTGATCAAAAGTTTCTTCGACGTTTTCATTATTCGATTCCGTTTTATGAATGACGACGCTCGAACGTCTCGATAATATTTTATTCCCTAAAGATTTGACAGGATCCGTTAAATCGTCGTTTAATCCCTGCAGATCATCTTCAAAATCGACCGTGAAATTAATCACTTGATTTTTAATCGTGTCTTGATAAGAATTCAAATCCAGATTAAAATCTATTTGAAAAAATTGATTATTATTATTATTATTATTATTTTATGAAAACTTTTGATTGTTCTCATAGACTCATTTTTTGTCGTTACCTCCATATTGTGTGACGGCTAATTGACAAATAATGCTCGACGATATATCTTGTCTCTGTTTATCGAACCTTTTGACGACAGCATCCAAATTCGTTAAAATTGCTTTTGCCGCCATATTTAAATTATCTCCGACCCATGGACCGTACGAAATCAATCTTGAAACAAATTATTAATTTATATATTTATAAAAAAAAAAAAAAAAGGATAAAAATTTAATTTTGTTTGACGCACTTTGAAAAGGCTGCATAAACCAAATCGAATGAAACCATGTAGGGAAGTGATAGGACGGAAAGTAATTTCATTCCTTTGTGTTTAAATATCCAATTGACTATGCCCTTGTTTGCCGCATCAATGGCTTCCTGGAATACTGACATGACCGTATCTGGAATTTTAGCTGCAATCAGAGCTTCCTAAGAAAATATTCACGCAAAAAAAGTTTTTTTTTGGTTTAAAATTTTTTTTTAAAACATTAAACGAATAAAACGAATGATAATAATAATAATAATAATAATAATAACATTATTAGTTTTTTTAACAACTACCTAGTTTTTAAATCACTACCTGCCTGTGAAGTTTACATTCTCGGCATTCCGGATCGTATTCGCAATTATCATCTAAACTTTCGGAAACGACGTATGTCGATTGTACGGCGAGACAACTCGTGCAATTAATTAAATTATTCCTTTGAAGAAATTTTAAAGCATCATCGAAACCTTGTTTGCACATTTTCGAAAGTGTTTCCGGTTTTGGTGGGAAAAGTATTCGGGCGATTCTATAAAAATTTTGCTTTGATAATTCTATCGACGTGTTCGCTACGTTTACCTAATAAATAATAAAAAATTCATTAAAATTTTTTTTTCTTTTTTTTTTTTTTAATAATATTAAACTTTTCTATTTTTACATAAGTAAATAAAAAGAATCAAGGTAATTAAACTAAAAAAAAAATTGTTTTCTTTAAATTTTAATCATATTTCATTTTCTTTACAGAAACCCCCCCACCCTCATCGTCGACAAGATGGACGAGGTCCATTCCACGTAGCTGACAGCAACCTCAATTATTAATTTCCAGCTACCGATCGAGTTAATACCATCTTTGTTCAGAAGAAAAAGTTCAATTTACATTTTGAAACGAAAAGACGTCGCAGACTACACATGATTTAGTTTCGCCATTTTGGCAAAGGTACCTTCAGTCAGATTCTCCTCTACATTAAGGTAAGAATAATTAAAAACCGCAATATACATTTGTGAACTCTTGATTCATTTTTATATAAAATTTGTTTTTTAAAATTAATTTTAAAACAAATGAAAATTCTTACGTGAAATAATTGTGATGAAAAATCTCTCGGACAAATATCACTCTCCCCGCAAAAAGGACTAACCGTTATTGTATTTTCATCCAGAGTTGGCAAATTATCGCTAAAACCGCCATCCATGTATCTAACGCCACGAAATTTCGGGGGTATGAAACCGGAAAAAATCGGTACAAAAGCACTTGCTAATAAAGCCTAAAAAAAACAATTTTAAATTTTAATAACGCAAACAACTATCAAAAAAAATTTGTTTTTGATACAAAATTTTAAAAATACTTGTAACAATTCTTCTCTCGTTTCAAAATCTGTGACAATAACGTTTTTTCCATCGTAAACCCGGGTCAACGAAACTCTTAGTTTACCGCTAACTCTTATATGTGCATCTTCAGGTAAAAACCTTTCTAAACCTTCTCTTAGTAAAGTTTGTACGTCAAAAGAAGGACTGAAAGGTCCTAATGTTTTTTTTCGTGCATCTCTTATAACGCGTAAAACATCGCTTATCATTCCACCTGAGAAAAAATAAAAAGGAACAAAAATTTTTTTACTCAGACCACAGACATACACAAAAAGAGGTTCTTTAAAAATGATTATGAGACCATTTTAAAAATCATTCATCCTCTAATTTAATTTTTAACCTTGATTTTTTATTTTAATTATTTAATAATAATAAAAAACTAATTAAATAAATAAATAACTTATTGGTTGGTGAATGTTTTTAATATTTAATAGAAAAATTTCATAAATTCACTATTATCATTATGTTTACAACCATTAACCATAACTTGACAGTTTTATCATGAATTAATAATTAATTATTTTAAATAACATAATAAAGTAAAATAAAATAAATTAATTTTTTGTCTTTACGGTATATAATATTATATAGAAGGTAAAAAAAAAAAAAAAAAAAAAAAAAAAGTAAACAAGGTAGCCTAATTATTGAGTAATATGTTTACAGTTTAAAAATTATGTGAGTCACGGTACTACCAAATAGTTAATAAAAGGCCATAATAAAGGCTAATCGTTATTATTTTTGATAAACACGTATAAATAAACATATACATATAACAGACATATAAACACACACACACAAACACGTTCACTTCCATACCCACACACACACACACTCATAACCATATATGTATATCTTAAAAGATGTTAAAGATTATAAATTATTAGATATAAAATCAACCTTGACATTAAACTTTAAAATAATAATAATAACATAAGACGCAATTAAAAAAAAAAAAAGTATCTTCTTGAAAATTATTGTTTACTTCTACAAACATAATTATGTTATTAAACAATTAAATAATGTATTGTTATTATTTAAGTAAATAATTATAGAAAATATTCATTTTAAAAAAAATTGCGTCGTAGGAAATTGATGAGAATTTAGTATCTTTTGTATTAATTTAAATTCTTGCTTTTCTTCGAAAAAAGAAAAAAAAAAAAAAAAAAAAATTGCACTTTTAAATATTGTTCAAAAAGGTATTCGATAAAATTTGCCTTTTTTTAAAATTAAAGAAAAAATAATAATAATAATAATTTTCTATATTTTCCAGTAATTACGATTATTTTTATAACGACCTTCATGTTATGCGAATGAATTCCGACAGTTTTTAGATAAACAATTGCCATAAGCAATGTTTATCAAAACCTTGATATTATTTTTAAAAAACAACAACACACAACAGATAATAAGAATTTTATTTAATAAAAGTGTATGACTATGAAACATTAAAACAATTATTATTATTATTAGTTTAATGTTAATAATAACCTATTTTTTTAAAAATAAAAATGATTTTTAATAGAACATTAAACAAAAAATATTATATATATAAATAATAAAAATGCATACAACATTTTATAAAATTTATCAGACAAAAAATATTAATCATCCTTTTATTTTATTAAATAAAGTCAATATTTATAATTTAGGCTATATATGCCAACTTGCAGCACACAAATTAATGTCAATAAAACAAGATTTACTTTGTTTTTTGTGTAAATAAAGTCAGTCAGTCACACAAAAACCTAAGTTAAAAATTTAAAACTTTTTTGTTGTTGTTGTTGTTGTTATTTTCTAAAGAATTTAAATTTTTCATTATATTATTAATTTATTATCATTAAAATAACAAAAGCAAAATTTACCGAAAAAAAAAGAAACCTAATCTTAAACTGTGACTTTCATTATACAATTTTTATATAAAAGTAGGTTAATTTTAATCATCGAACCATTTATGTATAAACAAATTTAAATGAAATGTTTTTTTTTTTTTCGAATGTGAAATTAAAAAATTTTCTTTTTATGTTTTCCGATTATAAAAGAAGGTATCAAAATTATTCTTTAACTAATACTTTTATCTATGCAAAAGAGAATAAATTATTTTGTATTATTAACAGTTGAAATTTGTTTTTTAAATTTAAAAATTATTTTCTGTTTGTCGTTTACTTTTCATTCGTTTTTATTTGAATGCATTTTAAAAAATTTTGGGCCATCATAATTTCAATAGTCAAAGCTCACATAAATGTTTCAAGGTCATAATAGTAAAATTTCCTACTTTTTTACCTATAGGGAGATCACACAGTAAACAACAAGCAGCTATTGCTCCTGCTGAGGCCCCTGCAATTTTGTCCACAAGTAAATGAGGAGCATATTGCTTGAAACAACATGCAACACCAATGTGATAAACCCCTAAAAATCCACAGCCAGCAAATGATAAATTCATAATTAACTAATTATCAATAATAAAAAACTTTTTAAAAAAATACTTTTAGCCTAAAACTTTAATAACAATTATTAACGGTGTATAAACAAAGAACCTCGGAAATAAAATACAATTTTTCAAACACTTATATCAATTGTAACTAAGAAAAACTAGTGAAAAGCATTGACTTTTATTACTTATCAATGAAAAACATTTTAGATAAGTAAATAGCATTTTGTAATTACATCACAGGCAAACTACTTCGTTAGTTTTTGAAAAACTTTTATATGATTTTTTTTCAAATTTTTAATTATACATTTATAGTTTTTTTTTTTATAATTAACATTTTAATAAATTCAAATGTATTATTTGAATTTAAATTATTTATTCTTTCTTAAAATTTTAATGAAACCGGAAGTTGTGAAAAAAGGACAATATTTAATTTTCGGTGTAACGGTTTTCTAAGTAAATTTGGAATAAATTTAAAAATGAGAACGAAACAATAAAACGAATGTCTGAAGTTAAAAATAATGTAATAATCTTTTTTCAATATGAAATATTCATTTAAAATTTTTAAAACTTTTTGAATGATTTCCGAAAAATAAGCAATTTTTTTTTAAAACATGGAAAAATTAGGACTGAAGGTCAGAGCTTAGGCTAAGGTCAAGAAAATCTACGCAAATAATGGCCATCA